AAGCAGCTCACCATGGGAGAAGGGGGCCAACATGGTAGAAGGATGTTCCAAGGTGAGAACACCCCAGGCACTGTAGCTGGAAAAGGTGGTGTTCAGTCAGATTACAGCTGAGAGGGAGGGGGTTAGTAGAAGTCTTAGGGAGGACAAGAAGGCGATCTTCAAGGCACTAAAGGGTTAGGCCCTGGAAGAGAAATTGGAACTCTTCTGTTTGAAGCATGAAAGTTACAGAGAAGAAAACTCAGGTTTGCTGTTGAGGAAAATAAGCTTCCTGACAATTAGAGCTATCCCAAAGTGCAATGGATTGCCTAAGGAGATAGTTTTTCATCTTCCTCAGTTATTTTCAGTCATGTATGACTCTTCATGACCCCATTTGAGGTTTTCTTGGCAAAAATCCTGGACTGTTTTTCCATTTCCTTCTCCAGCTCATTTTGCAGATGAGGAAACTGAGGCAATGTGATTAAGTGACTTGCCCAGGGTCACACAACTGCAGAGTGTCTGGGGCTGGATTTGAACTCAAGGAGAAGAGTCTTGCTGACTCCAAGCCCAGTGCTGTACTCACTGCTCAAAGGCTGGATGGCTACCTTCATGCAGAAAGCATCTTTTTCCTTGTATGGCTTGTCCTAGATGTGATCCCAGCTCTGAAACCTGGGATTCCATGGATAACGATGGAGTGACTTCTCACTTTTCTGTCTTCTCTGGAACTGAGGTAGGCAGGACACTTCCATCAATCACTGATTCACCTGCCTGCCCAGTGCTTTTTGTACACAGAGAAGAGAACATGGAGGCAAACATTTGAAACAAAGCCAGAGTCTCTGTCTCAAGGACCATAAACAATATGTTGTCGGGCTTTTTTAGACAAACAGGAAAAAAACAAACCTTCCTTTTTGTCTTAACATGGAAAAAAAATAATGTGCAACTTAGGGGAGATAAACTATAGATAACAATAAGATTATTGACTCTTTCGTGACCAATACAGAAGCTCAAAGTTTAGTGAGTGAAAACTAGAATGGTCAGAGCAATTGGGTTTTTGTCAGATCAGATTAGAATTATTAAATTTTAAGATATTTTTAGCATGTAACCTAAGCAGATCAAGGATAGAAAGGCCCATATACCCCCAAAAGAGTTGTACCAGCACTTTTTTGTAGAAGCAAAGAATTGGAAACAAAGTAGATGCCCACCAGTTGGGGAATGGTGAAGTGAATGAATGAATTTGTATGAATATGAATTATAATAGAGTATTGCTATATTGTAAGAAATGAGGAAAACTAAGACAACTAAATGAAAAGACTTCTATAAAATAATGCAAAATAAAGTGCAGAAAACCAGGGAAACAAACACATATAATAACTACAATAATGCAAATGAAAAGAACAAATAAAACTAAACTGAAAATTTTGTAATTATAATTGTAATGATGCTTAAGCTTAGCCCAGCAAGAAGGTAGGTAAGCAGGCAGCAAGCATTCATTAAGCATTTACTGTGTGCCAGGCACAATGCTAAATGCTAGAGATTTAAATACAAGCAAAAAGAAGAAAGATAGTCCCTGTCCTTGGGGAATTTACATTCTAGTGGGGGAAAGACAATATATATTAGAGAGCTGTAAAAGGTGGGGTGAGAGGAAGAGAACGTACTAGTATGGGTAGAGTTATGGTGATGAAATCCAAAGAATCAGAGCACAGCTGGGAAAGGAATGAGGCATAGAGGGCCAGGGCCCATCCCCAAAATGGAGGCCCCTGGAAGAAATGACCTAGCATGGCAGAGGGATGGTCCAGTTTGAGAAGATCCCAGGTACAAAGGAAAGTTCTACTATGAGAAAACAGCTGAGTCATAGCATTTTTTTCATCTATTTGATTTTAAACTCCCCAGTAACTGGTCCCATATCTTTTAGTTTTCTTTGTTTATCGCCTCTATGCTTATTCCATCATTCATGGATTGGCCTGACTAGCTGGTCACCTGAATAAATTAACTCAGCATGGCTCAGAAGGTAAAGAGCTGGCCTTAGAGTCAGAACAACCCAAATTCAAATTCTATCTCTCACAAACACTAGCTGTGTTACCCTGGACAAGTCTCTAAGATTATCAGTTAAGAAACAGCTGCAGATCTCTATTAAAAGAAGGAATTTCATCACTGGTGAAATCACCCACAAAATCAAAAAACCTCTTCAAATATCTAGTGTAATATCGGCTAGTAATTTTAGGTATTCCTTTCCAAACCCAAGTAACCAACATGAGACTACAAAGTAGAAACAGTCCTGTAACGTGGACAGAACTCTGGATCTGGTGACTGAGGACATGGGTTCGAATCCCAACTACCTATGACATATCGTCTTCTCTGAGCCAGAGTTTCCTCACCTGTAACAGGAGGAATGGAGGAAGGGAAGGGAACAAACATTTATTAAGCACTTGCTATGATCCAAGAACTATGCTAAGCATTTTACAAATATTATCTCATTTGAGAAAATTGGACTGAAGGACCTCTCAGTCCTTGTCTAGTTCTAAATCCTATGATTCCAAGGAGGGGAATCCATCTTATTAAATATTCCAGACCTACCTGTGGGCTGCAAGCAGTGGTCAAAACTCCCCACTGTGCCCAAATGATCAATAAAATAAATAAAATACAATGCAACATAATGCTAATTTGTGGTTTCTAAGGCAATATGCCACCTGCAGAGATCTGTTTCTATCTGAGTTTGACACCACTGCTTCAGCCACTGGCAGGATGGAGAATTGTTCTGGTTGTAGTAAAACCCTTTAGAGTCTCATGAGATTATTTCATGTTCCCTGCAGTGTCACATTCTAACAGGGCACAGTAAAGTCCTTTTCAAATTGGCAACTGAGGTCACAGGAAAATAAGTCTCTAAGAATAGGGTTGAGAGCTCAGAAAGATGACACCAGAACCATCTTGGATGTAAAAGGTAGAACTGGGCTCAATAAATTACCCCTTATCTCCCAGAGTTGTGAGAATAAATGAGATACTATTTGTTCAGCACTTTGCCAACCTTAAAGCATTATAGAAATGCTAGCTAGTATTAAGTTGAAATGGATAGATTGCAAGTAGTTGAATTACAACTAATTGAGGTTTGCAGGACTTAAAAAAATGCAAGCTAAGAGAAAATGTATATTGAAAATGATCTTTCTCTTTACCCAAATTGTTTCATTTCCACTCTAAGGTCTCCCTTCCCAGATTCTACATTCATGGAAAGAACCACGTAAAGGAACCCCTGATTTCACTGTAATGGATGCCACTTGAATTGTTTGTCCTCGACTCCTCCTTGCAGGGTCGAGATTTGGACAATAACATCCTTGAGCAGGTTTCCCCAAACTTGGCTCTTGGTGTTTCCTTTCTCCTTTTTCCTCCTGCTCTGACCTCACTTCCTGTAGGCCATTGAGGGGAAACAAAGGTTACAAGTTTATAAGTAAGCTTCCCCAGTGCCCAGTGGGTAGATAAGGACAGCAATAACATCCCAGTCCTGAGAAAGTGAGCCCAAGGAGATAGTTCTAGAGATCACACCTGGAATGGTCAGTGCCCAACAGTCTCTTGACCTTCCTGAGGACATACATAATGACCTAGGAGGGAAATCCATCCAAGGCCTCCATTTTAGAGATGAATAAAATGATGTTCAGAGAGTCTCTTCTTGGCAAGGGTCAAGGAAGTAGCACAGGCAAGACTTCAACCGAAGGATTTCTGACTGAAGAAAGGCACTGTGGTCTCATGGTAGGACAGCTGACCTTGAAGCCTGGAAGACCTGGGTGCACATCCTGCCTCTGCCGAGTGACACTGGGCAAGTCCCTTCACTTCTCATTGCTACACAGATCTCTAAGATTGTAAACTGCAGAGAGGTTGACCTGAATGATAAAGGGAAATTGTTCACAAAGGAGCTCCCTAGACCAATGAAGTAACAGTCCCTGTCTCTAGCCTGCTGTTCTTTGGGCTTTCTTGAGTTAGAAATTTTTTTTTTATTTTACTTATGCCTTTGTGTTTTACGTTAGAGGCACTACAGAACTAGCATCAAAAATAAGAGTTACGTGGTAGTTAGTGGGCAGCTAAGTGGAGCCATAGTGCGCAGAGCACCAGGTTTGGAGTCAGGAAGACTCCTCTTCCAGAATTCAAATCTAGCCTCAGATACTTACTAGCTGTGTGACGCTAGGCAAGTCACTTAACCTTGTTTGCCTCAGTTTCCTCTTCTGTAAAATGAGCTAGAGAAGGCAATGGCAAACCATTCCAGTGTCTCTGCCAAGAAAACCCCGAATGGGGTCACAAAGAGCTGGCTGTGCACTCTATGCACTATGGTGCCTAGCTGCCCTTCTAGAACTATAGAACCATAGAAACAGAACTTGAAGGGACATTAGAAGGCATGTACAGTGGCTAGAGCACCCACCCTGGAGTGAAGAAGACCTGACTTCAAATATGGCCTCAGACATTTACTAGCAGTGTGACCCTGGACAAGTCATTTAACTCTTATTGCCTCTGGAAAAAAAGAAAAAGAAAAAGAAAAAGAAAAGGGTATGTAGTTCAACCACTTAATTGAGAAAATTGAAGCCCACAGTGGATAAGGGACTCACCCAAAAGTCTCACAAAGAGTGGCAACAACAAAGCTTTGAAGTCAAGTCCTTTGAGGTCGAATCCAAGGCCTTTTTTCCTCACTGACCATCCTCTCAGGGTCTCTTACATCATAGAAGAAACATTGAAAAACTTAATAGAGAGCAAAAGACTGAAGAAAGCAAAGACCGTATCCTAACACACTCGTTCTGTTTTGGTCCAGAAGACACAAGATGGGGCAAAGTGGACTGAACTTGGCCTCTGCGCACCTGAGTTCCCATTCCACCTCTGTGATTTTACCACATCTTTGATTTAGGCAAACCTTAAGACCCCAGCTCCTTCATTCCAAAATGGGAGTGGGAAGTCCCATGATTTCTAAGGTCCTCTCCAGACCCAAATCTTACGGTCCTGAGATCTTGTAACCCTCCTTTTAACCTTTGTAGCTTCTCTCTTTAGGATTCTGCAGAGAAGTTCGGGGCCTGGTGGACAGGGCTTGGACCTTACAGTCTGGAAGATCTGATTTCAAGCCCTGCTGATGGTATGTACTAGCTGTAGGACCCTGGATGAGTCTTGTACCCTCTCAGAGCCTCCTGTGGCTCCCTGGGACTTATCTGTGTACTAAGACACCAAGTGAGGCCTTCTCAGCACACATGCTAGGATCCAACCCTTCCCTCGTTCACTGTGCAGCAAACCCCCTTTAAAAATCCCTGTGGGGGAAAGGAGGAAAGGCAGGGAAGTCCTGGGTTTTCCCCTCGAAGGGGCTGAGCTCTTTGGGGAGAGTTCTGTCAGCAGGAGAAAAGCCAATAGATGACACCAGCAAGCTGGATCTGGAGGGTGCAGACAGAGAGTGGCACCTCGGATGAAGCAGTGAGCACCAGGTGGCCGCTCTTGGCGCCTGAGGCCTCCGACCGTGGTGCCACCTTCGGCCCTCCTGCTGGTGAATTGCAAAGGGAGTGCGCTTGGAGCCGGGAGAAAGGCCTTGAATTCCCCTTTTGGAATCCGTTAGCTGTGCAGCCAGTAGAAACCACCAACCTTCTTGGTTCCCTCATGGGTCTGTTGGGCACAACAGGACTGGAACAACCCACCTTGTTGTCAGTCAGTCAAGCATTTATTAAGGGTTTATTATGTGCTACATGATTGAGCATATTAAGTTGAATTAAGCTATTAATTAGGTAAGCTATTAATAAATAAGCTATTAATAATTAATTTATTAAGCATGGGAATGGCTCTGCTCAGTGCCAAGGGTATAAAGAAAGACAAAAATGAATCCTGCAGTCAAGAAGCTCACATCTAGTGAGCCTAAAGAAATAGGCTCAAACGGGATGCATACAGAGGAGGTGGAGGGTCATCCTAGAGGGGAAGGCTCTGGCAGCTGGAGGGGGATAGGCTGGGGATGGGGAAAGGGCTCTTGGGGAGTGAGTGGAGACTGGAACTGAGTCTCAGGGAAATCAGCAAAGTTAAGAAACAGAGATGAAGAGGGAGAGTATTCCAAGAATGGGGGACCAAACAGGAGAGCTGGAGAAGGAAAGGAAGAGAGAGGAGGGGAAGGGGAGAAAGATAGAAAGGGAGAGAGACAGAGGGGGGGAGAGAGAGGGAGAGGGAGAGGAAAAGGGAGAGGGAAAGGGAGGGGGAGGGAGAGGGAGAGAGAGGAGGAGGAGAGAGATAGAAAGGGAGAGAGACAGAGAGGGAGAGGGAGAGGGAGAGAGAGGGAGAGGGATAGGGAGAGAGAGGGAGAGGGAGAGGGAGAGAGAGGGAGAGGGAGAGGGAGAGGGAAAAGGAGAGGGGAAGGGAGAAGGAGAGAGAGGAGGAGGAGAGAGATAGAAAGGGAGAGAGACAGAGAAGCAGAGGGAGAGGGAAAGGGAGAGAGAGAAGAGAGAGAGAGAGAGAGAGAGAGAGAGAGAGAGAGGAGAGAGAGGGAGAGGGAGGGAGAGGGAGAGAGAGGGAGAGGAGAGGGAGACGGAAAGGGAGGGGGGAAGGGAGAGGGAGAGGGAGAGAGAGAGAGAGAGAGAGAGAGAGAGAGAGAGAGAGAGAGAGAGAAAGAGGAGAGAGGGAGGGAGAGGGAGGAGAGAGAGAGAGAGAGAGAGAGAGAGGGAGAGGGAGAGGGGGACAGGGGGAGGGGGAGAGGGAGAGAGAGAGAGAGAGAGAGACAGAGAGAGAGAGAGAGAGAGAGGCAGAGAGAGAGAGAGAGAGAGAGAGAGAGAGAGAGAGAGAGAGAGAGAGAGAGAGAAAGTCCACGAACACAAAAGCTAGAATTTTGCTTTATTATTTCTGCAGAGGAGGGGATGGAGGCTTCTCACAGAATACTGGAAGACCACTGGGGACCAGGATGAGTAGAGCTGGGGTAAGATGGAATGGAAAATACCAGAGAGTTTTGTTCCATCCCCCAACTCTCTGCCCCACTTCTCCCCGCTCCCCAGTAGGTGGAAAGCTAAGAGTATGTACAGATAAAGATAAATGTTCTAGTGAAGAGAGAAACATGTGCTTCTAGATAGAGTATTTTTTTTTGATATAACTTTACCCCCAGAAGAAATGTCAAAAATATACAAAACACATGGGAAAGTAAGGAGGAAATCTGATCTGTTTTTCTAGGATTCCAGAACTGTCTCTCCTTTTTTATGCCAGGCATCTCTCTCCTGGGCAAGGGACAAGAAAGGGTTTTGTTGTTTGTTTGTTTTTTCCGCAAAATCAGAGGCAAGAACAGTCACTTAGGCCCAAGGAAAGCTTTCTGGTGTCTGGGAATGAGATGAAGAAAGGCACCCTCAACCTCCAGGCATAACTATGGTAATTCTAAGGGAAAGAATAAGAGCTTCACCCCAAAGGGAACAGCCCAATAAGACACTTAGAGCTCTCACCAGGAACTTGGGAAAGACAGGAGAGAAAAGGAATTATTTTTAAAGTACTGGTGGTATTCTATCCTAGGAAAAACCAAACTACAATTATGCAAGCCTAAAGAAAAAGGGAAGAAAAAATGTCTCCAAGAACCCAGAATAACCTGTAGCTTGAGGTTTGGGAGGGGTGTCAAGTATGAAATGCTACTGCTTGCCCTGCATATTCCATGCCCTAGCTTTCTAACTCAGCATATATTTCCCAAGCCAAAGACGTATGATTCCTCCAGATAGGGGTGCTGTCTGTGAAGGCTGTCAATACACTCTTGTTGTATATCCCTTGTTCTCAAAGAGGACCATGACATCAGGGAGGTGATGCCATGACATGCAAGTGAATTGGATTACAGTGAGGGAGGGCTGTGCAAAGTCAGCAGCCTCACTTTCTCCTCTGGAGCCATTTGGATCCAGTGGCCAGACACAGATCAGGACAACTAGAGATGGCCCTGGATGCAGTGGGAGACCTTGTCCTTCTTAAACTAAGGTCTTTAACAGGTCTCAGACTGCTTCTGCAATGAAAGCTCACATCTTGCCACTGGGATTTAGCACTCTTCCAGGAAGAGAGTAGATTCCAAACATTATCTTGCATTTTACTTAAGGCTTAGATTTTTAAAAAATGGAACTGGGAGGAGAAATACATCTTTAGACAATAGCTTTCATCACATTCTTTATTAAAAACAAAACACAAAAAAAGCATTTAAGCATGTATAATCCAGCAAACAAATTCCCACTTTGACCTTGCCTGCAAATGTGCATATAACTCATTTCTTGTTCATTGCTTCTCTGACAGGAGGTGAATGACATGTGTCCTCTGGACTTTTGGTTTATAATTCCATTGACTAGAGTTCTAAAGTCTTGTGAAGCTGTTTCACTTTGGAGTGTTGTCATTATATCAATTCTTCTCCAGTTCTGCTCATTTCTCTCTGTTCATTCATAGCAGTATTCCCACTTTCCTCTGAAACTGTCCATTTCATTCTTTCCTAGAAACAATAATATTCCAATTCATTCATATGCCATCATTTGTTTAGCCATTGCCCAATAGATGGGCACTCCCTTGGTTTCCATTTTAGAGCCACCATGAAAAGAGTGATGTAAGTATGCTTGTACATATAGGACTGTTTCCTTTCTGTCTGATCTCTTTGGGCTAGAAGCTTAGTAGCATCACCTTCTTTCAGAGGAAAAAGTTGAAAAAAAAGAGCAAATCAGCAATGGAGACTGTGATGGTGAAGATAAAAGGAAGAACAGACAAGGTGACGTCTTCCTATATTGTCACCTAACAGCCTACACTGGTCAGACTGGGTACTTTGTGGGTGTGACTGGCAAGAAGATGAACTAAAAATTAGGTTAACCTGACCAGGCTCAGAGAAAATTGAATACAATTGACTCTTCACTCAGAATTGGACCTATAATTAGACACAGTTCCCACTAGGAGATGGAGAGATTGAACTTTAACTTCCAAATAAAATCAGTAAATTGAAGGGAAGTTGTTTTTTGTCTTTCATTTTAACACAAGTCTGTGATTCAAAGGATCATAGGGTTAGAGCCAGAAAAGCAGCAAATCCATCTCCCTTCATTCTACAGATTAGGAAACTGAGGCCCAAAGAGGTTAAGTAACTCCCCAAAGCCAGAGAAGTAACACACATCAGTACAAGGATTTGAACCCATCACGTCCAGACCCTACATTTTACAAATACATTCCTCATTGTGGCATAGAGGTATCACTGGGCTCTGACACTGGACAGTTCTCCAGGACCTTCAGGACCTTGGGATCCCCTGGCCTAACCTTCGAGAGCTTGGAGGCACTTGAGAACCAGCCTGGCTATATTCAGAGGTTCTGATCCAGAGGAGCAGCCAATGGATTTTTTGGGGGGGTTTGTTTTTGCTACAGAAACTGATTTAAAACTATCTGCTATGAATTAGGAGGGGCTATGGACACTCAACAGATGTCCCCCCATACTCAGAAAAAGAAAATATTCACAGATCCTTGAAATAAGGATGGAGACTAGGGAATGTAGCAGAGGATGAAATAATGGCAGATGTATTTTATTTCAAGATCGCTTAGCTTCATAAAAAAAGGCATCAACTTCATAAAATGCCATCCATCTTTTACTGAACTGAAAGATTGCATAGAAAAAAGGACTATTTATGCATAGAAAGGTGAATAATTTTCCTTTTGGGAAAAGAAGCAAATATAAGTGACATTTATAGAGAACTTTCAAGTTCACAAAATACATCCCATCCCGTCTCTCATTTGAGCTTCATAAGAACCTTGCGTGGCAGGTGCTGATATCATCCTCATTTTCTCTAATGAAAACAAGAAACATTATTCAGCTGGGAAAGAAAATAGCATTCTAGAGTTTTGTAGGTTATTAGATTAATAACAACAATAACATTACTAACTAGCATGTGTATGGCATTTACTATGTACATACTCATTTTACAACTGGGACTCAGAGAGTCTGACTTGTCCATGGTCACATAGCTAGCAAGTATTGGAGGCAGGATTTGAACCCAGGCCTTCCCACTCCAAATCTAGCATGTTATCCATTATGCCAACAGCTTCCCTGATGTCCCCTCCCACTTTTTTCCTCCGGAGCAGCTGTCATATCATTAGCATCTTTTGAATCTTTCATAACTTCCTTTGAAGATCATTTATATTCGAGTGTGTCCCATTTTAAATAAACTTGGTATTTGACAAATTAAATTTATACCACTGAAGTTTTGGTGGAGAGAGGTAAGAAACATGCATTAAAATGGAGTCATTACTTTACAGAAGGATGTAGATAGTTGTTGCTTTATTAGTTGTGATTCATTGGTTAAGGGGGCAGCATGGCGGCCCGGAGAGAATGGGTTTTAGAAGATCTGGGTCTGAACGTTACTTCTGTTTCTTACTGATGGAATGACCTTGATTGAATCATTGAATTTATCTGTACCTCAGTTTCCAAACTAAGGAGGTTGGACCATGTCTAGTGCCTGATATGTCTTTCAACTTGCAATCTTACTCTGTTGCTTCCTACCTGGTAGACCTGGTTAGGGTCCAAAAGCCAAAGAAGTTTTTGCAGGTTTTGTCACATTCTCCTCCAGTTATGAAAATCCTACAATAACTCTAAAAAGGAACACATCTCATGACAGAACAGGACATTCTAAAAGGCAACCAAAGAGAAGTCTAAAAATAATCTCTGATAAGCACCACATCTTCCATCAACAATTAAGGAGTGTTGGTCACCCCTTCTTCTGATTGAATATGTGGGTTAGGATCACTCAGGATCATAGATTCAGAACTAGCAGGTTCTTTATTAGTCCTATGGTCAAGCAACCCACATGAGGAAATGAAGGCCCAGAAAAGTTATTACTTGCAGTATTTCATACAAGTAGCAAGTGAAAAAATTGACATTTGAATCTAGCTCTTCTGGCTCAAGCATTCTTTTCTACTGTTTTGTTGGACTGGCATACCAGATTCCAATTTGGAACAAAATGAAACCATCTAGTGGTTAACAAAAGAAGGTTAAGTCAACTATAGCAGAGAAAAGATATTCAGGATATAGCATTGATTCAATGAAGAGCTTCCCTGCTATTGGGTTGGCCATGATGGTGCTCTGGTTAAGCCTGAAGGAGGAACTCCTAGACTTTCATGTAAAGGCTTTTAAACTTGGGCCTCCAGGAAGACAGATAAGTGGCCCAGGCCTTAGTTCTCTGAGTCAATTAAGTCAACAAGTATTTATTAATGCTATAGGTCAGATACTGTGCTAAGCTATGAAAGGAGAGTTTCAATATCTTTTAAGGTTAAAAAAAAACAGCCTAGGTTGTGTGATAAATGATGCATCTGCTACATTCATGCCACCTCCTTTCATTGTTCTGTTGTTTATTAAGTTATGTTAATGAAAAAAATTTCTCTAATGGAAACAAGAAACATTCAGTTAGGGAAAAATAATACCCTGGGTTTTTATAATTTATTAGATTAATAATAATAATAATAATAATAGCTAGCATTTGTATGGCATTCACTGTGTGCTTAGTGCTTCCAATCCTCACAACAACCCTGGGAGGTAGGTGTTATTATAATCCACCTTTTACAGCTGAGGAAACTGAGACAAACAGAGGCTTACGTGAGTTGCCCAGTATCACACAGCTAGTAAGTAACTGAGGCTGGACTTGAACTCAGGCCTTCCTGACTCTTGGCCCAGTGCTCTATCTAACTATCTAGTACAACCTAGCTGCCTCTGACCCACATTTATATAATTATATTTATGTAACTGAATATTTTTTCTCATGTCAGCCATGTGATGTCTATACTATAAGTGTTATCATCTTCATTTTATAAATAACAGAACTGAGGCTCTAATCACTAGAATGATTGATCCATGGTCATAGTTGGTGAGTTTCTTAAGACAAAGCTCAAACCCAGGCTTCCTAAACCCTGGCTTTGGGTGTCCAGGCTGTTCTTGCCTTTCTTTTTATCTCCATTTCTTAGCACCATGCCTGATACATAGTAAGCACTTAATCGATGCTTGTTGATTGAATATATCCATTCCACCACAGTGCCGTTCTTTGTTGTGGCCACAGGATTTTCTCATGGACATGGGGGACGTTTGGAAAAGCTCTTGGTTTTCAGATTCAACATTTGTGTATTTGTAATTCTCAGAAGAGTTCCTCCAGGTGTTCTTAGCGGCTTGGAAGCCATACCTCCATTGGAGACAGTTCTTCAACAGTCCTCATCCCACAAGAAAGGTGGGAGCTCATTACCATCATTATTGAGCTGAGCTTTATGAATTAAAGTAGAAAATGAGGATAGGGAACCAATATATTTTTACAGGCTTCTTAAATTTCAAGACTAACCATCAAACTGACCTTCTTCTGTTAGTTGGATTATATGCCAATAATTGGACTGATAATGAAAATTAGTTGATACTAATACAAGCAACTTAGCATTTATTAAAACTGGGAATTAGACAAAACCCATGCCATAACTAGCATTAGACAAATTGGGCTACGCCCCAAGAAACTGACATCTAAGTATAATGGGAAAAAGCTCCACATTGAGAATCAGAGGACCTGAGTTCAAATCCTGCTCCTTATGCTAGCTACTTGTATAACCACAGCTATATCCTTTAACCTCCCCGGGTCTCAGTTTCCTCAAAATGAGGGCATTGGACTAAATGGCCTCTGGGGTCCACCCTAGCTCTAAGACTGTGATATCCTAGTTTCACCTTATCTAATATTAATCTGAAGATCCCCCTGCCCTTATTCCCTTTGGGACTATTTTTAGAGTCTTATTCTTTAAATTGTGGGAAAATTATTGCTTCAAAGATATGTCTTCAGTTATGTAAGATGGATCCACGTTCTGGTGATCAGACTGGAATTTCAGAACCATTTAGATTCAGTTACAGGGCAGAAGACTCATGTCTTCCCTGTCAGGGTTAAACCCAGACAGAGCCTCCTTTCTCACCATCCTTTCTCATTTCCAAACCAACCTCCTCTCCCCACATGGCTCCAAACCTCATGCCTTTGTTGCTTTTCCACTTACCCAGACCAATTTTAAAGAGAGATAGCTATCAATCCTTCACATTATAGTGTGAATTTAAGTTACTGTTGCCTCTCCCTGAGTTATTTGCATGCAAAGCCCTTTCTTATAGAAGGATAAATTCTCTGTGCCCTGTTAAAGGAATTTCAGACCTCAGAAAACAGGTGGAAGAGATTGTTATTTTTTTCTTGTTCAACATATCTTAGGGGAAGGATAACCTTTTCAGAGCTCCTAGAATCCTAATGTGTACACAGTAAACTAGAAATAAGGCCACCAGATTCATAGAGTAGATAATAAATATGATTTGTGAGCACAGGAAAGGTGAAGCATCCTGGTATAGGGGACTGCGGACTCACTCTGGAGTAGGAGAAACTTGGTTCAAATTCTGACTCTGATACTTATTACCTGTTTTTTTTTTCTTGAGCAAGTCATTTCTTCTCTGGGCCTCCATTTCCTCATTTGTAAAATCAGGGGGTTAGACTACAAGGCCTCTGATGTCACTTCTAGTCCTGATCTACAATTCTAACAATGTGATGAGACAGCCCTAGACTTGGACCCAGAGAGAGCTGAAATTGAATCTCACGTCCCAAAACTTAATAGCTATATTCTAATTTTCAGTTTCCCAATCTACAAAATGGGGATAATACCACCAGTACTAATCAACTTCACAAAGTTGTTGGACCAAAGTAGAAAATGAGCAAATCTTATAGAATGGTACTGACTGATGTCAACAGCGGTGATGGATTATGGATGGATAGATGGGTAAGATGACGATGATGGTGATAGTGATGGAGGTGGTAGTGGATAGCTCTGCCCTGGGGCTCTCTCCTCT